TCGTTTAGTAGCAGAACTGACCGGAATATAAGTAGAATGCAACGGTTTGAATCGTGAATTTGTTGAAATGATTGTTCTCTGAGACCACTGTGTAACTTTTGACCTGAGAACCACCAATTATAACGACAATGGTGGAAGCATTAGGCACTATAGGCACTGTAGGCAGCACTACATAGTTGGCACACTTACGCAAGCACACGACTTACGCAGTGGACATCTGGATCATGCATGTTAAGGTTTACTGGGAAGAGTGAGAAATTAGTCAGAATATAACTGACTAAGGAAAATAGGTTATATTTCCAATTGAGCTGGGGTGGGGAGGGGAGGGGACTATGGTCAGCTATGCCAATAATTCATTCTCGTTATGCAGCTGTGTAAAAGGGCGTCCGTTTTTTTTTTTTTTTGGCGAGACATTCGCCATTGGCCATTTCCAAGCTAAATCGTGGTGGAGATTCTGGAGACCTCAGCCTCGCTACCCTGCGCGCTGCGCCACCTTGCGAAACATAAAACAGCAGTCCTGACATCTACAGGGCTTACTTTTCATTAAAGCGTGGATGTGTTCGCGCTTATGCGAAGGAAATTCTTCCGAGTATGGTTGATAATGAGATTAATTGTTGTCATTAATTTGTTAATTCATTGGCAAAAGTACCCTTATAAATCGGTAAAGTAGCTTAAGCTGTATCGTATTTCCTTGGGAAAAAATGACGAACTCATCCTAAGACATCCAGATTATTGGATGCGTTCGTCAGTTGTAAGTAGTTCAAGTTTTTGGAAAAGTTTGCTTGTGGAAAATCATAATATTTCAAAGATATGCCTATTTTCGAATAATTTATGCATTTGTTAGCATTGAAAAATGATTGTAAAGCAAAAGCGCAAAAGATTATTGTCAATTTATTTTCTCAAATCACGATTTACGAACGCACAAAACTCCAGCTTTTAATTTAGTGCGTGTGCGAATTGCGGTCAAGAAAAAAGATTTAAACTGTCTATATTCCTCTTAAAACAATGAAGGATGAATGAAGAAAACGCTGTTTTGAACAATTGTATATTTATTTTTTCTCAATTAAGCAAAAGTACAAAATTTTCAGCTATTATTACATTTGATCTCACAAAACCCATCACTTTTAAGCATGACGTCATATCAGCCAAACTTACTAGCGCCATCTCTGGAGAGCATCTTTCGAAACCTCCAGACGATAGAGAGAGCCTTTTTTTGCTGTTACATATTTGTATCAACAGCGTCACAATTGTCCACTCGGACCTAATATATACTCATACCAAAATTTTTGCCAAGCGGGTTTGATTAGTTTGGTTGCAAAGTACTTTCATTAACCCCGCATTCGATGTCTCTCGGACGGCAAAGATTCTACGCCGTCCCGCCAATCACGTTCCAGAACTGCAGCCGAGCCCCCGCTGACCTTTGACGGGATTGGCCGGACGGCGTAGAATCTTCGTCGTCCGAGAGACATCGAACGCGGGGTAAAATTGACTGTCATGAGCTCCACAGTAGATATGAAAAGTGATTTGAATGTAACTTGGCACAGCCAATTAAACACAGCATTAATTTGCTTTTGTCAGTCAAAATAAAAAAGGCTATTCTTGCTATCCTTAAAAAGCTGCCATCTGGACTCTGTGTGTCGTGTAACTGGTCACAGCTTGAAGCTACCCGACTGGTGGTATCAGTACATCAAAATGTGTAGATCAAGATTATAAGATGAAGAACGGTGAAGATAAAAAACATAATCTAACCTGACCTAACCTACTTATTGACCTACAACATTGAACCTACCAACCTACCAACCTACCAACCAGCAAGGTCTAGAGATAATCCCAAGCTGCTACACTCTTACATTAGACACAAGAAGCAGCTTCGCTCTTCAGTTGGTCCTCTTCGTCTCGACCCTGATACCATATCTGACGACCCCAAGGAGATGGCTGACTGCTTTTTGCATGTGTTTACTGGCATACACGCTACGACGATTCCAGATAAACCAGCTGCTCACCAGCGAAGTGATACTGTCATGGCTGACATTGACATTAGCCTAATTGACGTACATTCTACGCTCAGTAGCCTTGATCCGAACTCAGCAATGGGTCAGGACGGCTTGCACCCAGCCCTGCTTAAGGCATGTGCTGCAACTTTATGCACACCACTTCTCATGATTTACAGGCAGTCTCTTCTGGAGGGAGCGCTGCCCTCGGCGTGGAAATCCTCGCTCGTCGTACCGATACTTAAGAAGGGTTCTCGTAACGACCCAATGAACTACAGACCAGTATCGCTCACGTCTGTATCTTGCAAAAGTCTTGAAAGGATAATTTCCAAAGAGCTCTACGCATTCTTCATTGCAAATCAGATCCTCAGTGACGAACAGTTCGGCTTTCGTCCAGGACGATCCACGGAAGACCAGCTACTCCTGACCTACGATGAGGTAACTGTAGCCTTAGATCTGGGCCATCCCGTTGATCTAGTTCTGTTCGACTTTTCAAAGGCTTTTGATGTGGTGCGCCATACCATTCTTCTAGAAAAACTCAGGTTAGTCGGTGTCCAAGGGCGACTTATCACATGGCTGACAGATTTCTTGGTGGGGCGTACGATGCAGGTTCTTGTTAAGGGCACCACGAGTTCAGCTGCGGAGGTTCGGAGTGGCGTTCCTCAGGGATCGGTTTTAGGACCCATTCTTTTTCTGGTTTACATCAACCACGTTGCGTCCAGTTTGTCGTGCAGTTATAAGATCTTTGCTGACGATCTTAAAGTATTTATCAAACTAGACAACGATAAACACAACACCAGTGAAGAGGCGCTACAAAAGGATATAGACTTGCTCCACTCTACGGCAGAGTCTTGGGGTCTCAGCATGAACCTCAGGAAGTGCGCCGTCATACGATTTAGGCGACGATTCCATGACTTCGAGCCCCGTGCATACACACTGGCTGGTGACACAATTCCCTGCGTTACGTCATGTAGTGACCTGGGTGTTATCATCGACAACGAGATGAAATTCCATGAACACTGTGCCAGCATAGCAGCGAAGGCTGGAGGAGTTGCTCACAATTTCTTGAAATCGACCAGGTGTCGCTCGCCTGACTTTATGACTCATATACTGAAATCTCACATTCGCCCCATTCTCGAGTACGCGTCACCGATCTGGAACAGTGGCTATGTACAGGATCTCAAAAGATTAGAGTCTGTTCAAAGGCTCTGGACTCGCAATGTGATTGGGCTCCGCAATATGGAATATGGTGATCGCCTAAAGGAACTTGACCTATTCTCTGTGAAGGGACGCCTCCTTCGAGCCGATATTATCAAATGCTGGAAGATTTTTCACGGCCACAGTAAGATATCCCCGGAGATCCTCTGGGATCTGGAGGCCGACAACAGAACGCGCGGGCATAGTAGAAAGATAAAAACGTGTCGGAGTCTTATAGATGCAAGGTCACGGTTTTTCACCCACAGAGTCGTGCGCGATTGGAATGCCCTCCCAGATTGGCTGGTGAACGAGGAGTCCCTGGTGCAGTTTAAAAAGGGACTGAAAGCCGCACTGGGCAGTAGATTGTACGAACACACAGGATAAGAGAAGGCAAACGATCCACATCTCATCCTTCATCCCCCCCCCCCCAGGTAAGCGCCCCACCCTTCCCAAGTTGGGGCGGGGTTATACGCGCCTGGGCTACCTATCATATTCCGCCCTTACCCCCTAGGTAGCTGCTGCCCGCCCTTCTCGAGCTGGACCGGGTGGACTAACCTAGGTTACCTATCCTGACCTTTCCTTCCGAGAACGTATCACATTTCGGTACCCTCTTTTCTCATTTACATAATTGATCATCTTGTCTAGGATTCTGGCACTTAAAACACGCACCAGTTTTCTTTTTTCAGTGTTATACCAAATGCAGACGCACCATTCCAATTCCTTGCCTGAGGTCCAGCCATCTGCCCACCCAAGGAATTGGCGCGTCTCTGCACGCAATAGGTTTCCACTCCTTCCTTTACGAGCCAAGGTTGTGGAAACCTAACAGGTGAGTTTAACCTACAACCTACAAACCTACAGCCTACCAATCTAAAACCTACAACCTACAACCTACCAACTTACCAACTGTACTTCATCTACACATATACTGTGGTACCAAGGTATTGGGTTTCTGTGATAACATTAACAAGCTCTGACTCTTTTACATGGGAGAGCATCCGAGTTTGCTGATGTCGATGTGTCCATGGATACCCAATACCACAATATATGTGGTGCCAGGCCAGCAGCCATGTAGCATCAAGGCATGAAACAAGGCCCTGATCCCTTCCATGAAAGAATGACAGCAGAATCTCTGAAATTATAAACTTCTTTTGTATCTTGATCTGTACAGATCAACAATATTTTTTTTTTTTAGTACAACATTGTACTTGTACCAAAGGTACCTAGTTGAAGTTGGGACACAGCAATTCCATGGCTGAACATCTGGAAAATTATCAACCAGTTTTCCCTGCTACTGCACTAGTAAGTGGTAGGTGTAAGAGGTGGTCCCCAGTCCCACAAGCTAAAATGAAGGCATTTGCCATTTTATTTCAGAAGTGCTTAAGTCACTTGGTGTAGGGATTTTATGGCTGATATCACATGTAAACCACACCTTTGAGCTTGTTCACCCTCTTCTAATTGTACCTGCTGAAGAGTCTCCAGACTGTTTCTTGATATCAGTAAGAAGTAGTGGTTGCCCCAGCTCTGACAAGTGACTACAGCAATTGTTTTGGCTATTTTTGCTGTAAGTGACAACTGACAGAAGCTTTGTTCCATGCTGATAGCTGATTGCCAGATCCAGTTAGCAAAAGATCAGTGAATCAGCTGCCCTGCCCCTCTGTCTGATTGGATGAGATCATAGATAGATCTGTTAAGCTTTTACTGCAGCTAGAATCCTGTTATTCCTATTTCTGATAAGAAAATATTAAGGAAGTCTAAGAAATGATGAGAAGAATATTATGAAAAACACTCAATTTTCCAGGGATTATTTTTTATCTGATAGTAGGCTGTCCAGTTGTGTGTGTAACAGCACAGCAACATAGAATAGCTTATTGCATTATAAAATAGTACACACTGTGTGTTATTTTATATAGCTGTAATGTTGGAATCAATGATCTATTGCACCCAGTTGCTTCTTTGCTGCCCTGAATAGCTGCCTAAATTGTGTCATTTTGCTTGACAAAACATTTTGTTTTAGACATAACACTATAAAAATGGAAAGAAACAAACATGGAGGAGGTCCACCCAAAAGGGGTGGAAAAGTGAAATCAATGGCACCTTTGCATGGTGATTTGATTGCTCTGGGTGCCAAAGGCAGTTCAAGAATGGATATGGATTCAAAGCACCAGCCACCAGCCCAGATGAAGCCAACCACCATGCTGCTGTGTAAGTCGTATTTCCTATTTAAGCTTGTTCCTATCATACAATTTTCATTATCAACCAATCAGTTTCAAGTGCAAAATGTTAATAGTGTTGTATTTGCTCATAAAGTAATAGCAGTCACATATTATTTTTTGGAGATGACTAAGTTTTGTACTAAAAACAATTTTCTGTAATTGTTCAACAAGTAAAAAATATTTGTTACCTTTTGTGTATGTCCCTCTGTCTTTGATGTCTGTTTATGAATGAACAGGCTGATATATGCAACCACTCTACAGACATGATGATTTTGCAGCTAAACCGGAGAAGAAGATGGAGGCAGGAGGATCTGGGATGTTGAAAAAGCCAAAGTCTCAGCTGGGCATGCCTTCAAGTGTAAGACCAGTAGACAGACAGGTATGCCTGCAGGTGGTTTTTGAGCTGCATACCATCTCAGTGTTCATGTAAGGCTCTGTCCTTATCTATGCATTTAAAGTCAGCATAGCAAAGAGTTGTTAATGTATGCAAACGTATCTGTCTGTAGGCACCATGTGCAGCCTTTTTACATTGTTCCTGCGATACCTCTGTGTTGCCCTGTGAGAAGTCTGTCACTGCTCTGTCGGTGGTCAGCGAGGTACTCTGTCCTGTCGGCCGTCCGGCGGTCCGCCCGCCGGTCACCCGCCCCCTCTCTCGGCAGGCGTCCCGGCCGGAGACGGAGGCGTGGCTGGCGGCGGCCGTCGAGCTGCCGCCCTCGGCCGACCTGGTGGCCGCCGTGGCCGAGGCCGACTTTCTGCGCGCCGAGGGCCTGCTGTGCGGCGCCGTGCGCCAGCTGCACGCGCAGCGCGCCAAGCCGGACCCGGCGCTGACGCTCAGCCTGCTGCTGGTGGCCAAGACGCAGCCGGCCGCCTTCTGCACGGAGACGGCGCTGGCGGCCGTCTGTTCGCTGCTCCGGCGAGACGCCGCCGCCAGCTTCAAGTCCAAGGGCAACCCGCAGGTGCAGGTGCTGGCCGCCAACCTGCTCTACTGGGTCTTCAGGGACGAGCCGCACTGGAAGGAGATGTTCGTCAGGGTAAGTGCGCCGGGCGCCGGGCGGGGACCGCGCTACAACGGCTCCTGGCTTGCCGTTATTAAATTCGAAGTTAACGCAAAGAGATGGACGGGTTCGGGCTTGATTTTCGTGTTTCCCTTGTTATAAGGGCGTCACCGACGAGATAAGTGTGAACATAATAAGCATACATCCCCGTTTAGTTCTGTCACGACCTGACCGGCTGGCTCGCCGTCTCAGGTTTACCTGGATGATGCGGCCGGCGACCGTCTGTGGGTGGACAGCGAGGAGTGCCGGCCGTTCGTCGAGAACGTGCTGACTGCGTTCGGCACGCGGCTGGCGCCCAAGTCGATGCTGCAGCCGGATGTGACGCTGGCCGGCCGGCCCGACTGCCCGTCACCGCCCGGCGCCGCCTGTGAGTCGCTCGGACCGGTGGAGATGGCGGTCTCACGCTACTGGTGTGTGGACGTGGGGCTGAGGTGGTCTGGCGGTACCGTGTGCAAGCTTACTGGCTTTTTGCATGCTTAGAGTAGGTGTAGTCATAGGAACTGTTGCGCCGGACGGCCGGACGCTGAAGACCCCTAACGGCTGATGGACGCCACAACATATTCATCGTTTGCTAGCAATTCGTCAGTTAATCATTTTGATGTCCACCCCGATCCAGACAAGCGCGGGAAAGCGCAATTTTTAATGCAACTCAGTGTGACGTAAAGTTGAATCGATCCAACAAGCTGAGTTTCACGCTATCTTTTATTGTAGATGCGTAGCAACCAAGTGTTATAGGGTGGCTACCTACCCGTGCAGGTCGAGCCACCACATAACGCATTTTCTTTTTCTCGCAGCTTCCTCCAGTTCGATGCAGGGCAATGACGACGACGACAGTCTGGGGATCAGCATCGTTCTCGACGACAAATCGGGACACACCGTGAAGCCGAGGTGAGTGTCAGGCATGACCTTATGTTAGTTAAGTAGTCTCGTGAGCAGGGAATTTTCATTACTGCTCCTTGTTTACTGATTATCACCAGGATGTTGTTGGTTGAAAGTGCTGAAGACAGGAGTGAATACGAGTGCCTGACGTGACCCAAGTAACTTTGTTCACTTGTGTGTTAAATACGGACCTCGGCCGGGAGCGGGTGCTGACTATGTGTCATTGGTGACATACATGCTGCGTCTCTGCCAGGTACGAGACCCAGGGGGAGCGGGTGCGCGCGCTGGTGCTGGACGCCGTCAAAGAGTACATCGGGCCGCGGAAGCAGCCGATTGAGACTGTGACCAGGAACATCCTGCGGCTGCTGGCCTCCGTCTGCGGCATCCCTGAGGTGGGTGGCCCGGCGCGGCGGCGGCGTTTGTTGGTGTGAGCGCGCTCTGTCTGTGCACGTGGTTGTGACTGTACGTGTGTCCCATGTGGTGGGCCGGTGCGGCAGACAGGGCGTCTCGGCTGGAGGTGTGGCCATGAGCGTCTGTGTATGGCTGTTTGTTCTGGCCCTCAGGTGCGGCAGCGGGTGGTCTCCCGTCTCGATGTGTGGCTGTTTGTGTGTGGTTTTTACGTGTTTGTTCTCACCTTCAGGTGCGGCAGCGGGTGGTCTCCCGACTCGAGGTGTGGCTGCAGAACCCCAAGTGGTCGCGGCCCGCCCAGGAGCTGCTCGTCTCGCTCTGCTCCAACCTGACGGCACACACCCAGTTCGATGTGGACGTCATCTCGCAGCTGGTCAAGTTCCGCATCAAGGCCAAGCCCATCGTCAACCTCTACCTCAGCTGCATGAGGTGGGTGAATAAGGTGGGAGCTGCTGTCACCGGTGCACTATTGGTGACCTAGTGTGGCGGGCTGTGTAGAAGAAAAAGACGATCTCGGTCGTGAAGCAGCTATGCTCTGCCTATGCTCATCAATATTGTTGCCCAGATTACGACTGTGTGGTGGCAGTCGGCTGTGACCATACGGGCGACCGACTGATAGTGATGACCATCCGGCGATCGTGCGGATTCTGTCGGGGTTGGCAGTGTGGTAACTGTTCACTGGCGTTGAGGTGACTCATGGTGGGTGTCTGCTGCAGTGTGCAGACTGACTGTCCGCTGGCAGTACGGTGACTGTCCAGTAACCGCCCGATGACCTATTTCTGTCGCAGGGAGCTGCTGGCCGCTCACCCGGACAACATGGCCACGCTGCTGAAGCACACCATCTACAACGAGCTGTCGCAGACGCGGAACCCGCACAACATGGCCGTGCTGTCGGCCGTGTTCCAGCACTCGGGCCACCAGGCGGCTGGCGTGCTCGCAGACGTGTTCCTGGTGAGTGGACAGGGCCGCGGCGCGTACCCGGTGTCGGTCGGCGGCTTGGGAAGCGGCCGCAGTCACCCGTGCCCCGCCAGCGTGCTAAGTGTGGGTCTTTAGAGAGTGGTCACACCAGTCTCCCGTACCTGCCTCGGGCGAATGCTAGGACGGGGTGGGGAAGACTGACAGTCCAAAGTCATTTTAAGGCATGGGCCATAAAAGCACACAAGCTGGTGGACGGTGATGCAGTCAAATGTTGGTTCGCTGGCAGGGCTGTTTTAACCAGTGATTGGGGCAGGATGCTCCTGACTGCCCTGGCAATTGCGCCGTTTTGATGGATGTATTAGCTGTATTTGCTGGTTGCAGTGGAAATGTGACCAATTCGGGTGTTTCGATTGCAGGAGCTGCTGATGAACAAGGAGGATTACTATCTGCGCGTGCTGCGGCCGCTGTGGCGCGAGATTTGCCGCTCGCTCCGATACGAGGTCGACTTCCTCAAGTTCTGCTCGGGACTCTTCCAGGAGAGAAAGGTAGACTTATCGATGCGTATGACGGATGTTCATGTGGAAGAGCTACTTGACTTTGGAAGCTTGTTAACCTGAGGCTCTTATTGGTCAGTAATTAAGCTAATTTTACTTCTTATAGACAATCCCCAACAAAATCAGTTCTGTTAGGCAGTCCCTTCGGGAACTTTATTTATTGTATAGCAAACTCACCCAGGACCGAGATGCATGATTTAGAACGGACGTAGGCTCATACCAATGTGCTCTGCGGTTAAACCGTCAGTGTATTTATCTACGCGTGATCATCAGCTTACAGCTCGTGTTAAGCAGCTGACGTGGTTCGTCCCTCCGGCAGGACGCGGCGTTCCGCGAGTTCGAGTTCCGTGAGCGGTACGTGAACTCTGTGTGCGACCTCGTCTCGCTGAGTATCCTGCTGGCCATCACCGGTCCGGTGAAGGAGGCGGCCACCACCCGGCCGGGCGAGAGCCGCAACACGGCGCCGCTCACGGTACGGTACTGGCGCCGCTCACGGTACGGTACTGACGCCGCTCACGGTACGGTACTGACGCCGCTCACGGTACGGTGCTGACGCCGCTCACGGTACGGTACTGGCGCCGGTCACGGGTGCGGAACTGGCGCGTATCATCTGCTGCTGACGGGTCTCTAACCGAGACTGACTCTGTTTACGATTCGTGCGTGACATTCTCGTGCATATGGAGCGAAATGTTCTTGGTTCTCCTGTTAAATCTAAAAGATGGCCTATGTAAACTGTCTAGCATTGTGTGAAGAGACTGTTACAGTGGCGTAGCCAGGGGGCACAGGGGGCACGTCCCCCCCCCCATCGGGTCCCGAGGGGCCCCGCGGCGCCTCTGAGGGACCCTTGGCGGCTTCTGAGGGCCCTTACCGGCCTATGAGGACCCCTTACCGGCCTGAGGGCCCCTTGCTGGCCTCTGGGAGTCCTTACTGTTAGATCAGATTATCAGTTACAACTGTCGTCCGCGGTTTACAAGTATATACTATTATTCCAATTAATGTACAACTCACCGCTGGGTTATGCAGTCTGTAATAGAGTGAGACGCTGTTACTGCAGCGGTGTGCTGTAATGTTTCTTTGCTCGGCTCGACAGGCGTACCAGAAGATGGTGTCCCTGATCCAGCGGGAGGCGGCGCAGTGGCTGCACACGGCTGTGCCCGACATGGTCGTCAAAAACTGGCCCGAGTTTCCACACTGCGTGTACAAGGTAACGGCGATGATTGAGTCGACAAAAGAGGGGGGGGGGCAGCTGTGGGCACAGACGAGAGCAGGAAGAGGAGGGATCATGAGCGGGCTATTGCTTATGCTGATGTTATAATGTTATCGCTGGTGCTTGCGTTACTGTTGTTTTTAGTTCCTGTAACTGTGAGTGTTTGCGAGTGCGACTGACTGGCCGTTTACGTATGGCCCGATATTCGGCGGTAACGGCTGTTTAGTGACAATAACGCTGACATTAGAACGATAAGTTGTAATTATGACGGATTGTGACAGTGAGTAGTGACTGTGACTGACTGTTGATGTGTGCCCCGCCGACTGCGTCAGGTGCTGTTCATGGAGCCGGCAGAGGCCTACCACAAACACGACAACTGGCCGCCAGAGGTGGAACGCGCGCTCATGATACGCATCGCCTCCGAGGTGCCCGTGCTGCAGGACACGCTGCTGCGCGTGCTGCTCATCGGCCTCTCCAAGGTGGGCCACCGGCCGACTCGGCATGATACTCTCGTGTGGATGTAGCTCAACTCTCCGGCTAATGTCGTGAAAGAAGGCAGAGGATGGTATAAATGTCTTATAAGGAACGTTTATTTTATTTTTGTTAGCTGCTAGAAACGACTATTTTGCCACATAATTCCCGGTCATAACGTATTACATCATATCCGGCAGCTGCGCCTTTCCGTTTTATGGCGACTTTCGCTGTTAAAATACGCCAAATGCATGTTTCTTGATCTCCCCTCGGATCTCTGTGTCCGCTCACCGGTACGCCGCTCCATTGCTGAGTCTGACCTTCCGCCCCGTCCCCTGGCAGACGCACCCGATGCCGGCGGTGAGCTGCTCTAACAGAGTCTGACCTTCCGCCCTGTCCCCTGGCAGACGCACCCGATGCCGGCGGTGAGCTGCTCTAACAGAGTCTGACCTTCCGCCCTGTCCCCTGGCAGACGCACCCGATGCCGGCGGTGAGCTGCTCTAACAGAGTCTGACCTTCCGCCCTGTCCCCTGGCAGACGCACCCGATGCCGGCGGTGAGCTGCTCTAACAGAGTCTGACTGTCCGCCCTGTCCCCTGGCAGACGCACCCGATGCCGGCGGTGAGCTGCTCTAACAGAGTCTGACCTTCCGCCCTGTCCCCTGGCAGACGCACCCGATGCCGGCGGCCAACGCGCTTGAGGTGGCCGAGAACCTGGTGAAGCGCTCTGCGCTGTGTCACCTGCACACGGAGAGCGGCACCACCACCGGCGGCCTGCAGCTGGACAAGCTGGAGATGGTCGACCTGCTGTTCAACCTGACCGTCTACCACCAGCCGGAGCACATGGCGCTGCCCGAGGGATACATGCCGCCGCAGCTGGCCATTCAGGAGCGCTACTGGCGGGTCTGGACCATCCTGCTGGTCGTCAGCGCGCACAACCCCACCAACTTTGGCAAGGTGGCCTGGGAGCACTACCCCACGCTCAAGATGCTGATGGAGATGTGCATCACTAAGTGAGTGTCGCCCGCAGTGCCGCGCGAGGAGCGACGGTCGGTGTCCGTAGTCAGCCGCTGCAGCTGATGGACCCCACTGATACCAGTACTGTTGATTATGACAGTATTAAGTGTTAAGCTGCCTAGCCCGGCTCCTTTAAACTCCCTGTTACCGCTGAACTTAAACCGTTGGTCATTCGCGCCTTTTTCAATCGATGTATCTCCGAAGTCCGAGATCTCTTTTCTGAATTATTTATACTGCTATTTCGTGTTCGTCATCCTAATGAGATTTCCCTAAACACAGATAACAGTAGTACTACTGTTATCTGTGCCTCTAATGATTTGATAGTTGCCCAATGACATACTGGCTTTATGCTGGCACTGTCGAGCAATTACCAGCTCAAATCTCTATGTGTGTTTGCCTCCAGCTCGTTCCGTTTTCCGCCGCCGACGATGGTATCCCCGGATCGGGCCGACGACCCGCTGGCCAGCGAGCTCCAGCTAGCCGCCATGGAGGGACGACAGATCCTCGAGTATGAGTCGCACCTCGCAGCCGCCTCCACGGGCCAGACCATTACAGAGTCCAACAGCCTGCTGCTGACTCAGGTTAGAGGATGCAGACCATCACAGGGGCCAATAGCCTGCTGCTGACACAGGTTAGAGGACAGATCAGCACTGACTGTGCCCTGGATTTTACCGTCTGACTGGTCTTCATCTTACCGTTCACCGTGACTCTGACTGCAGGTTGTGTATCTGACTGTTCACCGCCTGACTGCTGTGGTCGGATCTGGCCGTTACCGGCTCCGTTGTTATCGTGACCGTTCTGTGTCTCCTCCGGCAGCTCATCACCCTGGACCCCACTGGGCCGTGCCGCCGGCCGCCGGCCGCCGTGCTCGAGCAGCTGTCCCAGCTGAACGCCCAGCTGCGGCTCGGACAGCTGCTCTGCACCTCCCGGGAGCCCGAGTTTCTGCTGGACATTCTGCAGCGCCAGGGACCCAACCAGAGCATGCCCTGGCTCTCCGACCTGGTGGAGAACAACGAGGGAGCCTTCAGGTGCGTCCAGACGCGGGGAGGGAGGTGGGACTTCACTCAGCCTCAGTGGCGTTGGTTATTACGGATGTTTAAATGTCAACGCTGCATCGTTCACGATAAAATGTTCGACCGGTTAGTACTGAGAAGTTCGTCCGGAGAGTTTTATCGAATAAATTGTAGACTTTTCAAGATTATTGCACCATTTGGTGTTGTTTTGATTTTTATCAGCCTCTTCCCCGAGTAAAACTGCAAACCCGTATTCACCTACGCTTATGTTCCTGCTCATTTAATGTTGTGGTTGCATTCCTTTTTGGTCTGTGTTACAGTGTCCTCCCGGCGCAGTGTCTATGTGAGTTCCTGCTCACTCAGTGTTCCCTGCAGTGTTACAGTGTCTTCCCGGTGCAGTGCCTGAACTCCCTGCTCGCTCATTGTATGTACTGCTATATTTTCTGTGTTTCAGTGTCCTCCCGGTCCAGTGTCCTCTGCGAGTTCCCGCTCACTCATTGTGCTGCTGTGTTTCAGTGTTCTGCCGGTGCAGTGCCTCTGCGAGTTCCTGCTCACTCAGACAGTGGGCGCCGTGGACGATCTGGGTGTGGGCCGGCCGCCGGCGCCGGCGCGCCACCATCAGCTTCTGTCGCACCTTCAGCGGCTGGTGCGGCACCCCGGCCACGACCAGCGCGCCAACTTTGAGCTGGTCGAGTACTTCCTGCGCCGGCTGAGCTCGCAGCAGCGACAGGCGCGCCTGCAGGCCGCCAAGGTGGGTCGGTCGGTCGGACGCCCGCCGCTCGGACCGTGGTCCTCGGATGGAGGCGGTCCGGTCACTGGTCTGAGCGGAAGTCTGTTTGGTACCTGCGTCTTCTGAGGCGAGGCTAGCATGACGTGTGCAGATGGTTTGTGACTGTCATTTTCGTGACCGTCCTCTGAAGTATTTTGTTGAACTATGTGACGTTTGGTGACCTGCAGCCGGTTATTGACTTGCTGACATTAGTGACCTCTGTTGACCTGTGCAGGGGTTCGAGCTGGTGCTGCAGCCGCCGGACGCGCCGCCGGCCGACCCCCGCGAGCCCTACAGCTGGTTACTGCGCCACCTGCCTGCGGTGCCCAACTTCCCGCACCTGCGCCAGGGCGCCATACAGGGACTGCGCATCGCCTGCCACGTGAGTGTGCGGCAGACTGCGGCTGACCACGGGGCCCTGTGCTCGTCCAGTGGTCAGTTGCGGCGGCTCGCGGATGTCATTAAAAGTCGCGACTTAATTCTCCAGCATCTGCTGCGGCAGAACTGAACAGCGATGTGGTCAGATTATACACACACTCCGTGAAACTTATAAGAAGTTTTAAATGGTCATTGTGATTGTTGTGCATTACGAATCGGTCTCTTGATTGCGAAACGGAAAAGTTTTATGTCTGATCTACAAGTAAAATGTTCGTTGTGTTGTGAGCTATCCACATGAATGATCATCAGGATGCGATCGTCATTAAATATTATTATGCTTGTAGCTTGACTGACTGAGTACCGGGTCTCTGTTGTTTGTCTGTCTCCTGCCGTGTCTGACGGCCGCCCGTCTGTGTGTTTGCGCCCCAGTACGAGACGGAGCCCGGCCTGGTGGGCGCCTACATCCAGTTTCTGGCGGCGCACGGCTCTGGTGACCCGCTGCCCGAGCTGGCCGAGACGGTGGTGGACCTGGCGCAGCTGCTGGTGGAGCGCAGCACCATCGTGACGGCGCTGCTGCCGGCCGAGCCGGGCCGGCCGGACGCCGACTACGTCACACTGCGCGCCCTGCTGCACATCTTCAACACCTACATGCAGCTGGTCAGTGGTGTGAGACGGGGCGGCGGCCGACCGACAGTCGGCCACAGCTGCGTCTGTCGGCGCCCGGATCAATTGAAATCAAACCTGATTGTGATTAGAACGCTATCGGAGCTATCGGATATCGGTCATTTAGAATGGTCACATTTCTGGATAATTTTCATTGCAATTTCTTTGCTTAACCCGCGCCCGGCTGGGGGTCCTGGATTTCCACGCCCTGCTGGGGGGGGGGGTGTTTGAACACCCCCCCCCCCTTCTAACTCGGCTCCTGGGCCACGTAGCGATACGCGGAAGGCGGCGTTCGAAAGAGCGTCAAAAATAATGAGGAAATCACTTCGGTCAATTTTTTGGTCAGGTCAAAGGTCAGGTCACCAGAGGTCATTGAAGGCAAAATTTCGCCGATTTCCAGGTCGAATGTCGACAATTTCCAAGAAGCCAACGCATAACTCGGGAACCAATAGAGCTACAGCGCCGCGGAAAAGCGCATTCGATAGCCCTATTCACGCCCTTTCTGAGTAATTTTCTCAGATTTGACCTAACGTCAACGGTTTTGCCTGCAGGGGGCAAAAACTGCAAAAATAGCCAATTTTTTCGGAAACAGTTTTTCTGCAATAACTTTTGACCCAAGCCTTGTACGAGCTTACTTTTACCGGCATCGTGTTCCTCTCGTCAAGACGCATCGAATGAACTATAACTTGACCTTGAAAGGTCAACTTGAAAATTTGACCTCAGGTCAAGGTCATGACCTGACCGGAAAGGGTCATGTTGCATATCAGTCGATCCGTATCGTCGAGCTGAACACATCTAAGGCATTTTCATCGCTCTAGCATGCCTCTATCAAAAGTTATTTGCGAAAAACTGTTAGATACCATTCGTGACCTAAGATGACCTCAGGGCATAAACAGGGGTCACGGACACCATTTTCATGTTCAGTGTGTCTAAACCACTTGTAATTCAGTGTTTGGGAGTGTTTATAATGTCTTTCGTCCAAAGCAGGCGCATTTCAATTTTCTCCCATTGACTTATAATGGGGAGGTCGCAAAATTGACCTGACCTTAGGTCATCGATATCAAAATTCTGAGATATACATTTTGTACATGCTATTGCTCTTAGTAATCGCTGAAAGTTTCAAAGCGATCGGTCACTTGGTGTAGCTATGACAGACATTGAAACTTTTTATGAGGTGAGGTCACTTCAAGTGACCTGGTGACCTGACCTTGAACGACCTTGGTCTGAAATTTTCACAACATGTGTAGAATTGATGTATGATAAGGTGTACCAAAAACGGCGGCGCTCCGCGCCGCCGTTTTTGAGATATTCGCGAAAAACCACAAGGGGGGTGTTCAAACACCCCCCCCCCCCCAGCAGGGCGCGGGTTAAACTATAAATAGTGAACAAATATGAATTTTGAATTTTTGCTATCAGTCAGATATGCAATGTTTTTTATCTGAAATATGTATGCCAATCTTAATTCGTGGTATATGGTTCAGCAATAACAGATCGCCTGACCAGCCGCCCCTCTCCGCTGTGGCTCAGGTGACGGGTCCGTCGGCCGGCGCCGGCTACGACCGCTCCGAGGCCGGTGACGTGGTGGTGGTGTGCTGGCCGTCCGGACGTAAGGCGACCATCAACACACTGGTGGTGCAGGCCACCGTCATCCTGCTCACCCACCATCCGGGCGCAGGTAAGCAGGTCGGGTCATCTGACACTGGTGTCATTCTGCTGACCGGTCAGCCGGGCGCAGGTAAGCGAGTCGGGCCATCCTGCTGACCCACCATCCGGGCGCAGGTAAGAGGACCGGGTCAATTACTGACACTGAAGTGATTCTGATAATTTTGATGAACTCTTGTATTGAGTTTGCATTGTCTGTTTAGAAAAGTGATGTGAGCTGATTCAGCAGCTCAGCTAAATTAGACGAGTTAGGTAAATAATATGGCCTACCACAGAGCCTAAATTTGCTTTATTTCACTTTCCGCCTCACTCTCTGAATTGGCTGTGTTTTTTTCAGTTTTTTTTTTATAACAAAGATTGCCAACAACAGTATGCAGTGGACCTGCCTGAGCTTCCACCCCGCGTCTCCGTACAGAGCGGCACCTGTTTGACCAGCTGCTGGAGCTGTGGTTCCCGGCGGCTGGCCCGGCGCCGCGCGCCCTCGACTCGGAGGCGGCGCTCTTCCAGGACTGGCTGAAGCTGCGTATGATCCGCAGTAGCACGGCCCGACTGGTGGACGCCGCTCTGGCCGGCCTCGAGCCGGCCCAGCTGCTGCTCTTCATACAGAGCTTCGGCGTGCCCGTGGCCAGTATGACGTGAGTCCGGTCCCGCGTATGGGGAGGGGATGATGTGGGTGTGCTGATTCGGGTAAATGCGGACGTGGACGGACGTAACGTATCACCTGACGGCCATGTGAGCGTGCGTAGTTGTGAACATGGCTGGACGTGATAAGGATTGGCGCTGGCTGCTGAACGTTAGTCACTCCTACCACCCGTTCTCCCGTTCTGGGTTGTGTAACTGACGGTCCGCTGTACCGTGGCCCGTCTCCCCAGTAAACTGCTGCTGGCGCTAGACGCGGCCGTGGTGGCGCCCTTTCTCTGCTGTGTGCTAACGTTCCGCTGTACCGCCCGTCTCCCCAGTAAACTGCTGCTGCCGCTGGACGCGGCCGTGGTGGCGCCTTGTGTCTCTGCTGTGTGCTAACGGTCCGCTGTACCGCCCGTCTCCCCAGTAAACTGCTGCTGGCGCTGGACGCGGCCGTGGCGGCCGACCCTGCGGCCGTGACCGGCGCCGTGCTGAACCGCGAGTTCATGGCGCAGCTGGTGGAGGTGCAGCACCAGCGCGGAGCGCGCGGCGGCCACCAGTTCGCCGCCATCCTCGGCACGGACGCCGAGAAAAAGTCACCCGAGCGTGAGTAGATGGTGGCGGACGGGACTTCTGTAGTCACAGCCGCGAATCGCGCCACTGGATACTATCCACTATCCAGTCTTGTTTTAGATCTGGTAGACAACAGAAGTTCTTGGATAATCCCTGATTTGTCTCCAGCTTGCGACCCATTAGCTGCTCCACCATTTCGAACCGTACATCAATTCATTTGCCTTACTTTATTAAGCTCACCGCTCTTACTTATGACGTGCCCTACCAGTCATTAATGTGCTTTGTGCTGACTGTGGCACTCATGTGCGCAACCAGTCCGTGTGTTGACCGTCCCACCTGTGTACCCCGCCAGTTCGTGTGCGGACCGTCCCTCCGTGTACCCTAAGAGCCCCGTGTGCTGACCCTCCCACCCGTGTACCCTAAGAGCCCCGTGTGCTGACCCTCCCACCCGTGTACCCTAAGAGCCCCGTGTGCTGACCGTCCTGCCCGTGTACCCTAAGAGCCCCGTGTGCTGACCGTCCTGCCCGTGTACCCTAAGAGCCCCGTGTGCTGACCCTCCCACCCGTGTACCCTAAGAGCCCCGTGTGCTGACCGTCCTGCCCGTGTACACTAAGAGCCCCTTGTGCTGACCGTCCTGCCCGTGTACCCTAAGAGCCCCGTGTGCTGACCCTCCCACCCGTGTACCCTAAGAGCCCCGTGTGCTGACCGTCCTGCCCGTGTACACTAAGAGCCCCGTGTGCTGACCCTCCCACCCGTGTACCCTAAGAGCCCCGTGTGCTGACCCTCCCACCCGTGTACCTTAAGAGCCCCGTGTGCTGACCGTCCTGCCCGTGTACCCTAAGAGCCATGTGCTGACCGCCCCGCCCGCGCGTTCCGCAGCGGTGCTGGAGCCGCCGTCGCCGACCCGGCCGCCGCCGGTGGCCGTTAGCCGGCCGCTGACGGCTCTGGCGCCGTCTCAGGTGCTCTGGTTCGTACGCGAGCTGTTCTCGGACCAGCCGGAGGCTACGCATCAGCACCAGCTGCGCAGCCTGCAGAGGGTGAGCTCCGCGCCGCGCGGCGCTCCCTGGGACGATGGGAGGGTTGGTGGGTGATAGCGTTGGGCGGGAGCGGTGGGTGATGATTGCGGACGCAGTATGAGAATGAACGGATCCATTAGGCTAGTTTAGTTATCATCGCGTCAATGGTGTTTGTAGTGTTAGCGCAACAGCTACCAGACCTGTCACGTCGTTGCCTGTTCCCTGTATATTCTGCTCAGGCTGCTATGTGACCTGCTGTATATGCTGCTATGTGACCACAATGGATGTCATCCCCACCGAACACTGCGTCTGCATTTGTCTCCATCCCTGCGGCGTATTTGTCATGACCGCGTAGCGACTCTGTGCCGCCAGTGTATCTCGATGGAGGCTCGCGAGGTGGGCCGTCTGGTGACAAAGGCCACCATCAGCGCGCTGCTGCAGCTGCTGCGGGAGGGCGGCGGTGCCGCGTTCCTCAGCCAGCTGCACCGGCGGCCCACGGTGGCCTGCTGCCTGCTGCGGCTGCTCACCGCCGTGGTGAGGATCTGCTAGTGTACCTGCCACTGTGTCCTGGGCCCCGCCCTGTCACCAGTGCTGGCGAGGGACCTGCTGTATCCGCCACTGTGTCCTGGGTCCCGCCCTGTCACCAGTGCTGGCGAGGGACCTGCAGCTGTATCCCTGTTGTGTCCTGGTACCCGCCCTGTCACCAGTGCTGGCGGCTTAACGAGGGGCCCGCGGCTGTAGCCGCCACTATTTGCTGGTACCCGCCCTGCCACCAGTGCCTCTGTCTAACGCCCACATTGAGTGGGCGTTAGGAGTAGAAAGGGCTACAATCGAACTCGATGCCATGATCTGGGAGCTTGGAATTGGAGTGCTAATGATAGGGAATCTAGCGGTGATCGAATGCGACACACCGCCGTTCAGTGCGGCGTCCCGTTGCAGCAGTACTGTGTCGCGCCCCTCTGCCCCTGACTGAGGTCTCTCTGCCGTCTCAGGTGCGACCCGACTCGTCGCTGAGCGCCGACCTGACGGCCGTGTGTGAGGCCATCGGCTCGGGCTCGCCGCCGCCGCCGCCCGGCCCCCTGGCGTCCATCTGCGAGGCGTACCTGCGCCGGCAGCGGCGGACGACGGCGTCCGAGCTGGCGCCGCCGCCCGGCCAGCTGACCAGGCACCAGCTGACGCAGCGTGAGTCAGAGCGACACCAGCACGGCACAGTGCGAGCCGGGCAGGATAACGCAGAATGTTTGTGCTTTTATTCAGCGCTCACGAAATCTTCACCTAATCGTTCGCCGTTTTGGAAGCATGCGACGTCAGCTCTGTCTGACGTTCCATGTTGTTTGGTCAGCCTATTTTCCACCACCCCATCACCAATGACGTGTTTGACTTCTGACTCGGGCCGCCGGTTACAGTACTGAGCGGCACGGCGCCGTCGCGCGCCGAGTCGACCGTGCGCCGTCTGGTGGACCGGTGTCTGGCCGCCGACCGGACCCCGCACCTGGTGGCCGCCATCTCACACTGTCTGCTGCAGCACAACGCGGCCGGCGGCCGGGCGGGACTGAAACGGACCCACGATCAGGTCAGCGCACGCGGTCGTGGAGGGAGGATGGGGGTACTCTGTCAGCTCTACTGAGGGCATTTAGCAGTGTCTCTCTGTGGTTCGCTGTGTACAGTAGCCATGTCTCTGTGGTTCGCTGTGTCTCTGTAATTCGTTGTTTATCTGCGGTCCCCGGCTAGTGTATCTGACGTCTCTCCGCGCCCCGACCCAGGCGGACCGGTCGCCCGGTGACGCCGCCGGGGACGGTGCGCCGGCCGGCCTCAGTCCCGGCCAGGTGGGCCTGCTGGTCGACTGGCTCGAGCTGCTCGAGCCAGAGGTCATCTCGTCGTGCCCGGACACTCAGCTGCAGGTCAGAGGTCCGCTGGGCGCGGCTGTCGGAGGGAGTCTGCTGAGTCACCGCTGCTCGCACAGCCATAGCTACGGCGATGACCAATGGCAGTGACAAACTGCCGGGCGTCATTGAAGCGATTGCTTGGGTCCTATCTGTAATATCGCTGTATGGCGCCCTCTGCCTCATGAAAACAGTCTCTAACGGCTGCCTTATTCAGGATCTTTGGCGATTCGGTCCTCACTCCTCGCCCAAATAATTCAGACAAACCAATTCTGTTTTCGTTTTGGCTTCATTTCCACCGCAACAGCTGTTATGAAACATGTAGATGATGTGCATTCTCCCCACCTGTAGTCTATTTGATCTTGCCATTGATCTCGTACTCGTACCGGCGCTGTGTACAGATGCTGTTCTCGTCGAGCGGCGGCGGCGGCGGTGGCGGCCAGCCCGGTAACCGGGCCTATCTGCTGGCGCTGCTCACTCACCACGCCAGCTGGGCCACGCTGCACACCACCATCGACGTCCTGCTCGGAACTGACTGCGACAAGTGAGGACCAGCTGTAGCCTCGTCCGGTTGTAGCTCTAGCAGTTGTCTCCATAGCTTGCTTGCTTGGAGGCAAGAATGGAAATGGTCCGGCGGCACGTGCTGCTTTGTTATTTGATCGACTTTTTAGAAGCTCTACGCCTGTGGCTCGTTGGTCTAGGGGTATGATTCTCGCTTAGGGTGCGAGAGGTCCCGGGTTCAAATCCCGGACGAGCCCTGCGTTTTGCTTTGCTTGCGACTGTTTTACCTCCACGCATTTGTCGTGGTTTTAGGATCTCTAGTCTATGGCCTCATTACGATGCAAAGTTTTGCGATATGTATTTGCTTTATGTGAGTAATCGTTGACTTAATATTATTTCCGGGATTTTTTTTTGTCGCATTCATTGGTCATATTCAAATCAAACTCTCATGTCATGTCCCATTTTCTTTATTGTTTTGTGCGATTCAGCGTTTGTGGTGTGCTTTGTCATAATCTTACGGGAATTGTATTTCTCATAGCTACTTATGCATTTCAAAATAATGCTTTTTTTGCCAAGATCGAGACGTGTTTAGGCTACTGTGCGACTGGCGCGCCGACGTTTGCGTCGCTTTCCGCCAGGTACGACCCGACGGTGGTGTTGGACTTCCTCTGGGCGTGTCTGTTCGTGCCGCGCCTGTGGCAGGGCCAGGACAAGTCGGTGTCGCCGCGTCAGGAGAGCGCCGACATGCTGCGGCTCTCTGCCGACCAGGTGGGCCGATTGGGAATGTTTCCTCCGGCAGCGGGATCTCCAACCTAACGCGGGCGCTGGAGGGCTCTGCCGGCGGCCATTGGGTACAAATTAGCTGGACGTGCCAGCGGAGAGCGAGGCGGGCTCAGCTTCGGACGAACAGAACCTGGGGAAATGTTATGCCCCAATTACATAATTAGGCATATGCCTTGCTTTTTGTTAATTGGGTAATAACCACTCGGCTGAAAAGCTGGATGTACAAATGTTTCCCATGGTGCCCGTTTCTACGCTCGCGATTACTGTATTCGCTCCTAACCAGTCCCCTCGACAGATGATGGTGAGTCTGCCTATGTGCCGTGTCTGTATCTACTGATGACCCGCCGTCCCTCCCCGGCAGATGGTGAGCCTGGTGCGGCACGTGGTGCGCGAGCAGGCCGGTGCCGCGGCGCCGGTGGACGTGTCGGCCCGGCTGCCGCTGCTGCTGCGCTGCTGCCGGCGCCGGCCGCCGCTGGTCGCCGCCGCCGTCTCGCACCTGGAGCAGACGCGCGCCGGCGGTGGGCCGCGCGCCGCCGCCGCCGGCCGCCTGCTGCTGGAGCTCTACCTGCAGCTGCCGCACGTGATCGCGCTGCTGGACGGCGGCGGCGAGCTGCTGGAGTCGGCGCCGCTCGGTCAGTGCCGCCTGAGTGATCCGCCCCCGCCCCCGGCCCGGCCCCTGACCCCTGATCTCTGACCCTGACGGTTATCAGCTGCGTTTGGTGGTGTACGCTGCCTGTGTGACTTAGTCGAATCGCCGCAGTGACTGGGCCGCACTTCCATACTGTTGCACATGTTCCGACTCCAGAGACAGTGCGACATGCGCGGTTTTCACCTGAGCTGACTCGACTTGACACCGAGCTGAGTAGACACACCTCGAGCTAACCAGACCAGCCATGCTAAGACTTGCACCCCTGAGCTGATCTGGCATACCCTGAGCTGACCTGGCATACCCTGAGCTGACCTGGCATACCCTGAGCTGACCTATCTGTAAGAATCTTGGAGCTGACCTGCCCTACCCTTCCCCGGCAGACGGCGGTGTCAGCGTACTGGACGCCCTCTCCCACACGCTGCTCACGTCTATCGGGGCCACCCGGCCCGGCAAGGAGTGGATCACTCAGATGCGCGACTTCGAGATCTCACTGCGAAAGATGGCCGCCACCCACCCGATGCTGCTGCTCAGGTGTGTATGTGTGTCTGTATGTACATACGTCCGCCGCTGTGTCGTGTGTTGGAGGCTGTTCTCTCTGCCTGCTGCCCAGCAGCTGTGTGTGTGTGTGTGTGCCCGCCCTGACGGCCGGTCCTGTGGTCCTCAGGCAGCTGCCGATGGTGGCCTCGCTGCTGCGCGGCCGCACCCACCTGGATGGGCCCGTGTTCCGGCAGCGCAACCACGCCGTGCTGTTCGCCAAGCTGCTCGGGGTGCTGGAGCTGCTGCAGCCGCAGGTGTACCTGTCGCACCACCGCGCCGCCCTGCTCGACATCCTCGACTCCTACTGCCATATGCTGCAGGTGAGGCCGGCCGCCGCACAGACAGGTGGACTGGTGATAGGGGCGTTTACCGCATGTGTACAGAGTCCGTGAGTGATGATATTCTCATACTCTTCACCGGGAAGAAATGGTGATTGGACTCTGCACAAACTCAGTAAGATTGAAACGTCTTCACTGAAAAGAATACGCCAGCTGGATCGTGGACGGCTATAACTGAACATCATTTGACTACAAAGTTATCTTTGACGTGCTACTACGTTTCACCACTAATGGGCCGCGCTCGCGAACATTGTCCCAGCCCTATCAGCCGTTTGTAGACTAGCCACGGCGGCGAGGCGCTGACGGGTCGCGCTCGATATCTGTTCTCAGAGACAAAACCTGAAGGAGGTAACGGCCATGGTGCCGCGGATAGCGGTCATACTCAACAACTTCCTGTCGAGGGCACCGGCAGAGGCCTCGCAGTTCCTGCACAAGTACTCGGAGCTCATCATGTGAGTCACGCGCGGGTCCGGGCGGCCCGTGCGGCCGCAGAGGAACACTGCTGGAAAACAGCAGAGGAGCACTTGCTGCTGCAGGGTGGTGTCTCAAATGGTCAGAAGGAGGTTGTATGTCGACGTCTCCTCTCACCATTTGTATCAATTTCTTCTTGGGGATGTGGGTTGCATCTGAGTCTTTAATTAGCTTAGGGCGAAAAAAATGGCAATTTGTGAAGCAGAATTCTCATTTCGATGCGGCTTGTCGACAGTGATTTCGGCTGTGGCCAGTCACGGGGAATCACAGTCCGTATAAAATTGTGCAAACACCACCTCCGCCGTGACCCCGGCCATGTCCCTCGTGACCCCCGTGTGTGCCGGACGTGCCGTCAGGTCGCTGGCGTCCCGGTTCCCCGACCAGCCGCTGCTGCGCACGCTGGCCTCGTACGTGACGTCGGCGGGCGGCGGCGGCGGGCCGCCCCCGCTCTCGACGGGCGCCGACGCGGCGCCGTCTCCCGCCCAGCTGGCCGGCCTGATGATGAAACTGAACAGCGCGGAGAGCTCTGACGAGCTGGCGGCCGTGCTGCAGGACCTGGACACGCTGGCCGCCCGGCGCGTCGGGGTGCTGGATAAGTTCGTGGTGAGTGGCCGCAGGGGGAGGAGATTGGGCGCGAGGGCGGGAAGAACAGGTCGTTACACGGGGCCGGCTCCGTCACACTGGTGTGGCGGTTAGTCCCGCTAGTCTCGCGGGCTAAGCCAGTGAGCAAGAAGTGAAGGCAAACCGTCTAGCGGAGTTGGAATAATACCGAGTCACCGGGTCTGTGATAGATCCTGTGTTGAGATGTGTGACGACGACGTACTGACGCACCGTCTCTGGCTGTCCGCCAGGACAACCTGTGCGACCTGCTGTCGAGCTGCGGCGCGCCGGTGCGCGAGCTGGCCCACTCGCTGCTGCTGCGCTACCTGCAGCAGACGCCGGCCGCCGCCGACCGCTGCGTCTCGGCCTACTTCGAGTGCCTGGACAGCGGCGACGAGTGCGTGCGCGCCATGGTGCTGGACCGGCTGCCCGAGATCGTGGTGCTGGCGCAGGGTGAGTCGGCCGGACGCCCGACCGCGGCGCCGCGAGGACTCGGCATGGCTGGGACCTGGAGACTTGTGTTGCGTCTGATAACGTGCCCCGCTGTCCCACACAGCACGCTAGTAGAGCGTCTTACACTTGCTTCCGCTGTCCCATAGCACGCCAGCACGGATTATTACACCTTGTTCCTCTGTCCCACAGAGCACGCCAGCCAGCTGATGCAGAAGGCGTTCGACGTGGCGATCGCCACCAACATCGGCACGGCGTCCTATATCAGCGACGCTATGGCGCTCCTGAACGTACAGACCGGGGCGTGAGCGGCCGACTGCGCCCCTTCCCTACCCCTCCCTTACCGCGCGCTGTGTTCGGGCCCGTGCGACTTGTATCAGAAATACACATGTAAAAAAGATCTGTATCGCTGAGTAATGTCGGCTCAGGCCCCGACGGCGTGTCCAGTCGATAACCTCATCGCCTTCGCAGTTACTATGCCATGTGGTGGTACTTATGAGGTAGGATGGCTTATTTGGAAGGGTTTTCGCAATCAGCATGCGCTGTTCGGAGCAGCGGGAAAAAATGCATGCCTATGTCATTGAAGCTGTTCCCAGGCTTTTGACATTATCTAGCCAGGTCGGAAACAAGTTTGGGTTATACACAATTGTGATTATTCATTTCACTCGGCTAGCAATCGAAGGAAAAGATACTCAACAACAGAAAAATAACAGCCATTGGAATTCGGATCGCCATCCAAGCGATTCCGTTCAGGCACTTTTGAATCACAAGCGATCACAAATATGCGGACTAGCAAAGAAAGCAACGACAACACACCTTTGTGGCGCCGATTGGGTAGCAGCTATCACAGCGAAAACCACTGTCAAAACGTCAACATCTTGAACTGTGCTCACCATCGGCAGGATGGCGCTCGACGACCTCAGCTGGGAGAGGACCCTGATCGGTGGGGCGCCGCGCTGAGACAGGCCCGCTGAGCGGTGTCTGGCAGTGACAGCGGTCAGCCGGCGCCGAACAGAGTCGGCTGGTGACGGCCCGGCCGGCCGGCTCGTCTATACGTGCGCCGCCCAGCCGCTGTAGGCCAGTCCGAGCACGTACCGGTCGGTGGCCAGCTCCAGCAGACAGTCCACCTGCTGCTCGGCCGTCAGGCCCGCGTCGGCCAGCTCGGCGCGCGGCTCGTGGCCTCGCCGACCGCGCGCCGCCGCCGACCACGCCTCCACCTCCTGCGCCGAGAGGCGGCCGGCGCCCGCCAGCAGCTGGCAAACGTCGGCGGCCGGGTGCGAGCCGCACAGCCGGCCGCGCGTCTGGCGCACGCAGCGGCGCGCGTGCTCAGCCGGCTGCTGTTGGTGCTCGGTCCACTGGGCGGCCGGCTCGCGCACGAAGCCCTGCAGCGCGGCGGCCAGCAGGTGGCGCGAGGAGCGCAGCGCGCGCACCGCCCGCAGCAGGGTGTGCCGGGTGAGGCCGGCCGGGCCGAGCGGCGCCGTCAGGCCGGCCAGCTGCGCCGTCAGGCGGAACGGCACCAGCTCCGGCACGGGCAGCAGGCTGGTGGCCGAGCCGAACACGTGGCCAAAGTCGATGCCGATCATTGCGCCGTCCTCCAGTGAGACGAGGAAGTTGCCCAGGTGGCGGTCGCCGACGCCGAGCAGCCAGCCGGCGGCACAGAGCAGCGCGTGTGACTCGGCCATCCGGGTGCGCAGCCGCAGCAGCGCCTCGGGGCCCGAGCTGAGGCGGAACACCGCCTGCTGCAGCAGCGTGCTGCACGCGCGGCCCCGCTCGTCGCGCATCAGTGCCTCGCGCGCGGCCAGGTCGGCCACCACGACGTCCCGCGGCGCGCGGCGCGCGTACTCGCTCTGCAGCTGCACGTCATTGGCGCCGCTCTGGGTCGCGTGCCGCCTCATCTGCTTCCTGAACAGCTCGCGCGCCTCAGCGCACTGCTGTTCGAGGTCGGGGCACGCCGAGCCGATGAACTGGTGGAGCGTGCTGGTGTGATCGAGCCACTGAATGATACCCAGCGTCGGGTGGACGGGCAGCACGGTGTAGGTGGTGAGCGCCAGCCGGCGGTCGGCGGCCGCCGGCTCCGCGGCCAGCGCGCCGTTCAGCAGTCGGAACAGCTGCTGCACGCGCTGGTCGGTGCGCAGGTCGTCACCGGCCTTGATCAGGTAGCGGTACTCGCGGGCGTCGTCGCCGCGCACTGTGATGCGCACCGGGCGCTCGATGGAGTTCAGCACGAGAGCCTCGTCGGACAGATTGGCCACGCGCACATGGTAGTCGGGCTGCGGTCGGCGGCGGCCCGTGTACTGGCCGGGCAGCTCCAGCCGCTCCTGGCTGTTAACGTCCTGGAACGAGGCCAGCCAGCCGCTGAACTCGCCCAGTCGGCGTGAGGCGGGCCGCTCGGCCAGTCGTTTCTTGATAAGATCCACGGCCTTGGGCGCCGACCTGGTCGTGATGCGCTCTCCGTTGTCGCCGCACAGTCGCAGCAGCTGGCGGTCGGCCTCGGAGGGCGGGTCCGACAGCACGGCCGCCAGTCCGCCCCAGTCTGCCAGCGCGCCGGCTGCCTTCTCCAGCTGACCGGCCTGCAGGTGACGGTACAAACTCCTGAGCCGCGAGTAGACGCCCAGCCGGCCGAGCTCAGCCACCAGTCGCTCCGGCAGCCGGCAGTTGGCCATCAGCTGGTGGGCCTGCTCCAGACAGGCGCTCATCTCGGCGGGCCGCACGGCGCCCGTGTCGGCCCGACTGGCGGCCAGCGGGTAGGCCAGCGCCTGCGGGTACTGTTCGGCCAGCCGCAGCAGCAGCCGGCGCACCGTGCCGCCGCAGCCGGCCGAAGCGCCATATGAGAACAGCTGAGGCAGCCAGGCCAGGAAGCGCCACTCGGGCACGGCCTCCCAGCCGTCCGCCAGCGCGGCCGCCGCCGGCGGGTGCTCGTCGGCCAGCTGCAGCAGGCGCGGCAGCCAGTCGCACGCCTCGGTCGAGCCGGCCGCCAGCGCCCACAGCGTGCAGCGCACGAAGGGCCCGCGCAGCTCGGCGCCCGGGCCGCCAGCCTCCGCCTCCTCCAGCGCCTCCAGCTGGCGGCCACAGAACCTGGCCGCCTCCAGACAGGCGTCAGCGGCCTCCGGCGAGCCGCGCGCCGCCTCCACGGCTGCCGAGAGCCGGCCGAACGCCAGCTGCACCAGGTCGGCCCGCGCGCCGTCGCCCGTCCAGTGGCCGCTCTCCTCCAGCAGCTGGCTGACGAACGGGTCGGCGACGGCGGCCGGCTCCAGGAGACACCGCTCGGCCAGTTCCGCCTCCAGACGGGCGCGCCGCAGCAGCAGGCCGACCGGCAGCGGCGGCGCCGAGTCGCGCCAGCGCACCTGGTCGTCCAGCACGCGCCACGTGCGCACCGGGTCCCGGCCGAGCAGCACGGCCGTCTGACAGCGCAGCAGCTGGTACTCGGCGGCCAGGCTGGCGTCGTCTGCGTCCCACTGTTGGGAGCGCAGGTGCCCCAGCTGCCGGCCGGCCGCCGTGGCGTTGCGCTGTGCGAGGGCGGCCTCGACCAGCCGGAGCCGCGAGCGGCGCAGGTAGCGCTGCTGGCGCGTCCCAGGCGGCAGCTGGTCGACGTACAGGTGGCGGCGGCCCACCAGCCGCTCCCAGAAGGCGAGGCTCTCCTGTGCCGCCGGGTAGTTGCGCTCCCAGTGATCCAGCAGGCTGGACGCGGCCGCCGTCGGGTCCGGCGCCGTCACCGCGTCCAGGAACTGTTGCAGTTCGGTGATTGTGCGCAGCCGCTGCAGTAGCAGCGTCCGCGACTGGCCGCCGGCTGCCTCGGCCGCGCTCCAGTCGCGCACAAACGATTCCTGAGCCATGTGGCAGTAATGGCGCGCGCGAGTCAGCTGCCCGCAAGCCACGTGGCGCAGCGCCAGCTCCTCGGGGAAGCGACTCTCGAGCAGGTGGCGACTGGCCTCCTCGGCCAGGCCGGCGTCCAGGAACTGGTGTAGCTGTTGTGTCGTTGTCCCGTCCCGCTCTATGGCCAGCTGCGTTTTGCTGACGACCAGCCAGGGGAGCAGGTGGTCGCGCTGCTCGTCGTTCCCGGCCAGCCAGACGCTGTCCAGCCGCGGCTGCTGGTCGTGGTCCGCAGTCAGCCGCTGGTCGACAGCCCGGCTCAGCCGGCCCCACTCGGACAGCTCCGACAGACACTGGAAGTAGGCCTGATCGCTCAGGTGGTCCTCGCCGCGCCGGATCGTCTGCTCGTAGTGACGCGCGGCCTCCAGAAAGTCTCCGCGAGCCTCCGCCTCCAATGCGGCGGACCAGTCGGCGGCCAGGTCGGCGCGCCGGCCGAGCGCGGCGCGCGCCGAGTCCCTGTCGCCGTACTGGACGTACAGCTCGGCGAGCACGCTCCAGAGCCGGTCCCGGTCTCGGGCCGGCTCGGCGGCCGGTGGCGGCAGACCGAGACGCGGCCGTTTCCTATCGGTGGCCGCCTCGACGGCCGCCGGCTGGCGCAAGGTGCGTTCCAGCAGCATAATGCCGGCCGGCAGCTGGCCGCTGAGGCGGCACACGGAGGCGAGCAGCGCCGGCGGCAGCGCCAGCTCGGCGTCCAGCGACGTCTGCAGCGCGGCGCTCACCAGGCTCGGCTCGGCCGTGCGCAGCCGGCGCAGCACAGACTCCAGCCCGGATGACACGGCGTCTCTCAGTTGGTCAGCGCCGACGCCGGCCGCCGGCCGCTTCCTCGACTGTGTCGGCGAGGGCGGCCGCTGCTCGGCGGCGTCGAGCTCGTGCAGCGTGCCGACCAGCAGGCCGGCCAGCAGACGGGCTGCCGTCGGCGGGTCGTGCATGGCCAGCGCCTGCAGCGGCCGCAGCAGGTCAGAGTACGGGATCTCGGTGTCGGGCAGCTCGCCGCGCCGGTACCGCCGGAACAGCTCCACCTGGGCGTCCTGGCGGCGCGGCTCGTCGCGCTGGCGGTCCTCGCGCAGTGCGCGCTGGTCGGCGTGTCGCCGCGCCATGCGGGCAGACACCTGGCGAGCGTCCGTCTCGACACGGCGGCGTAGCATGCGCGACAGCGCGTCGGCACCGGCGTCCCCGTCGCCGCCGTCGCGGCCGCCGTCCACGTCGTCTGTGTATCGGAGCCGGGCGCCGCTCGGGGCCCCGGTGCCGGCCGGCGCTGCCGCCGTCTGGGTCAGCCAGTCGAACGTCGGCTGGCTGGCGGCGCTCCGCTGTGTGGGCGTGAACGCCAGGCTGCGCTGTGTGGCGCGCAGCAGCGCCGGCAGCGGTCCGCCGCCGGCCGCCGGCTGCGAGAACAGCGGCACTGCGGCGGCGCTCTGCACCCGCCAGTCGGACACGATGGCCACCTCCTCGAACTCACTCTCGGGCAGCGCTCGGTCGAACATCTTGCGGTCGAAGTCGGGCGATTGCGCCGTCAATCCCAGCACCAAGTAGGTGGCGTAGCTGAGATAGGCCGCCTCCAGGCCGGGCCGAAACATGTCCGTCAGCACGCGGGAGAGCCGGCCGGGCGTGGTGTCGGCGCCCGCGTCTGCCCAGTAGTTGGCCGCCGTCTGGCGCACCGTCAGGTCGGTGTCGGTGAGCA